TATATATATATATATATATATATATATATATATATATATATATATATATATATATATATATATGCTGATGTAATAGGCGACGGTGTCTGTGCTGTTGCGTTTTGCTTCTTTCAGAGCACATTTACCGAGGTGGTGTTTGCACGGGAAAGCGCCCTTTACAAAAGCGAAGGGATTACAGCGAAAGACATCGAGTTCACCACCAACAACGAAGTGATCAGCGTGCTGATAGACAAGGGAAGCTCTATTCTCAGCATCCTTGAAGACCAGTGCTTGGCACCCGGTAATTAACGCAAGGCAGTTCGCGGCAGTTCATCTGATAATAATTATTATTGTATGCACAATTCTAGGCAATAAACGCATAACAGTTCACCACGTCTCACCTTTTAGTAATGAAAGTAAAAATATTACTATTAGTGCTGTATGCTCACGTTTTGTCAACGAGACGGTTCAACGCACTTTACTTACGTTGGCCGTAGCTTTTTCTTTTGCCACATTCAAGCTGTTGCCTTTTTGTTCATTTGATTATCTCCAGGCGGCAGCGACGAAAAGCTCGTTAGCACCTGTTGCACGAAGCTAAAATCCAACTCGAAGTTTGTGCCAGCCAAGCTCGACGCTCACAGCGCCTTCTTTGTAAAGCAGTCGATTGGAACGATCAAATATAATGCACAAGGATTTATATTCAAGAATAAAGATGTTCTAAGGCCGGAAATGGTCGAAGTCGTGCAGGTGCGCGAGTAATTCCACATGTCAACATAACATATATATATATATATATATATATATATATATATATATATATATATATATATATATATATATATATATTTTCGCCAAGCCAAAGTCCACTGTATTTTATATAGAAAAGACCTAAGTGTGTCTTCCAATTTCGCGTTCATATGCAGCGGAATGAAAATCGAGGTGTCTGCGTTTGCTGTTATTAGCTGGTTTGTTGTAAAAGATCAGGTTCAGCTGCCGTACTTGATACAGTAGAAGCAGCACATTAAGATAATGCTACTACGTTACTGTTGCCTCCTCCTGTGGCTGATCTCAATGTTAACTATTGCCGACGTTAGAAATGTGATTTGAAGCTGTTTGCTCTCCGCTCATGCAGGCCTCGGGGAATCCAGTGGTGCGGGCACTCTTTGAAGGAGTGAAGGTTGAGAGAGGAAAGATGGCAAAGGGATCTTTGATCGGGTCTCAGTTCTTAGCACAACTCAACAAACTCATGACTCTGATTGGCTCAACGGAAGCTCACTTTATCAGGTGACAAAGAGATGCAGCTAGCCAATACCCCACGCGGATGCAACAACCACCACCTCCCTTGATTTCGTTCGAGGGACTCTGTGCTTACTGTGACAGTGGTGCATGCGTACATGCATTTATCCATGCATGCATTTGTGCATGCGGGCATGCGGAAGGCTGCTGTTGTACCGTGCACCCCTCACCGCGTGTGCAACCAATCTCCTGCTGCTGCTGCTGCACTTTGCCTCTATGAACCCTAGCGGATTGCAGCGCCGTGACAAGCTGCTCAATGGGTTTTGTGTATCGCTCTGTCTCTGCGTTTACAGGTGCGTGAAGCCCAACGAAGAGAAGAAGCCCTTGATGTGGGTTCAGAGCAAGGTGCTCATTCAGCTGCATGCACTCTCCATCATCGAAGCGCTGCAACTGCGTCAGCTTGGATATTCGTATCGGCGCCAATTCCAGGTGTGTGTGTGTGTGTGTAAGAGACCACATTGCTGCTTCTTAAGCCCAACTGCATGGGTACTGCCACAGTGAATAAGAACACAGGAAAAAGAACAGTGCCGCTTGTTTCGAAATGAAACAACACAAAGCAGAAGGGAGCTCATATTTCTCGTAATGAATAAAACCAGATCAAAAGAACCGTATACCTCGTGCCTTGCAGCGAGGTATACACAGTACCGAAAGAGAAGGGAGCGCATATTTCGTGTCTTTCACAGAGTGGTCTTTCAGCGGTTTCCGTTCTTCTGTTGCAATGTGTCGTGTGAAATTTTAGGAATTTGTGGAACAGTTTCAATTTATTGATTTAAGCGCGGCGAAGACGGCCGACAAACGCGCCGCTACGGAAGCGATAATTGCGGCGGCAAAACTGGAAAACGGTGCGTCCCCGGCTTCTTGCTGTTAGCTCTAGTATCCTTTCCATGAGCTGAGAATATTCACTTCTGTCTATAGAGTTTGAGATGCTTAGCCTTCTACGAAGAAGAAACTGCATTCCTCTCAATGAAGGAGAAAATATATCTCTGTTAATGAGGAAGCCGCATTCCCGTCATTGAAGGAGAATTTACATTTGTCTCTGTGAAGGTTGAACCAACTACGTTGATGCGATGTTGCTGTTCATGTATTTTTTCAGGTGCATACGCGTTAGGAAAAACAATGGTGTTCTTGAAGCCAGAAAGTGCTAAGTACTTGGTACACTTGCAACGCACACGCCTGTCGGCCTGGGGCCCCCTTATCGGAGTCCTGGAGGCAATCTACGTGCAGAAGAAAATGCATACCAAGAAGCAAGCATTTGCAATCTGCTCAAGGATATGCGCGCATGCACGAAGAAAGCTCGATCAGTGCATTTAACCTCGTGCATCTACCCTTCCTCGCATATAACATATATACATATATATATATATATATATATATATATATATATATATATATATATATATATGCATTAGACAGTGACGTGCAAGCATGCATGCATGCATTAAACAGTGTCATGCATGGGTGAATACATGCATGCATGCATTAAACAGTGCTGTACATGCGGCACGTCCCACGCAAAACGAGAAGTATGTCTCGTATGAATGCATAGCCACAAGCTGCGTGGCGGTGTATACACCGCAAAAGCATCTTTGCGCCTTTACGACAATGATATTTCTTTGCAATTTCAAGTCAAGGGAAGGATAAGAGGTGGATTAGCTGGGTTTTATTAGGACTGAACAGTACCAGGTCTCACAAAAATACTACAAAAACACTTCTTCTGGCATCATCAAGAAATGGCTCGCCCGCGTTTACGCATGTAGAATAATAATCTCATTAAGCGCCCGGTTCTAAGCATATATAATCCCTCTCATCCTTTCAACTCAACGACAAAGAACGATATATTTATATATATATACACAAATAAATAAACCTGCAAAACTACTTTGCCTGCTACTGCAACTGTACTTGAACATCGCCAGTGAGGGGAACCGATGCACCACGAGTGGCTGACAGCCACAGCCTGCTCCTCAAATATGCGTCTGTCACACATGCAGAGTAAATGCCACCGTGAGGGTGCCTGTCGAGTACCAGAAGAATCCAAGCAGACAGGTCACTTCATGAGAGCTGTTGCTTTACAGTTGTACAGAGCCTGGAGGTGCATACAGCACCACCCACTAGAAGACGGCACCTTATCAGTGTTCTTTGGGTCCTTGGTTCAGCGCGTTTGCTGTGCGCGACGCGACGATGGCGTTGCTGTTGTAGACTTCTTGAAAGGCAAACCGCCACAGCTTTTCTTTGCTTCTTATGATGCGGCGTCTCTCAAGGAAGCTGCACCATCAAGGCCTTGGTAAATTAAAAAAAGATAAACTGAAACAAAGTCCGGCAGAATACTCAAAAGGGGAATTGCTTCCACAAGCGTTTGCCTGTCCCCCTTCTATACGCAGCAGCAAATGTCTTCTTGTCTGGCGGGGTCAATTTCTGCGAAATCTCCAAGCCAGGCTCTTGGCAGCAGGGCTGCAGTCTCAGTAAGAGTTTCAGTGTTGCAATGACCGTATTCAGATCCTTCTTCTTCTTGTTCTCTTTCTGATTGATATTTTGAGTGCCGCTGTAAAGGCCTCCGGTCTCGCATGTCTTACAACACAGGCCGAGCTGCTCCTCCTGTTGGTGTTTGTGCATCACCTTCACTGGATGGTCCGCTGCAGGTGCTGCTCATGCTGCTGCAGTTGCTGCTCGCGCTGCTGCAATTGCTGCTCGCGCTGCTGCAGTTGCTGTTCGTGCTGCTGCAGTTGCTGTCCGTGCTGCTGCTGTTGCTGCTCGTGCTGCTGCTGTTGCTGCTCGTGCTGCTGCTGTTGCTGCTCGTGCTGTGACTGTCTCTGCTCTCTAGCTGGTGAAAAGCAGCGCCGGCTGCTGGGGAGGAGCCACTGCCTTCTCCACCCTGTGACAATCTCGTCGTGGTTAAGATATCTGACTGCGGTTCTAAATGGGAATCAATGCTGCGTATGTCTTCTTCCTGTTGAGATCCCTGTTCGCCAACCACTGTATCCGCCGAGCAGTTTTCAACAGGGTTGGCCACATCAGGCGCTCTCGCAGTACTGCCGCTCGTAGAACAACTTGAATTGTTTTGATCCTCTACTGACTCCCCTCCAGAGCCTCCCGTCCATCCGTCTCTCTCCGCTTTCTTCAGCAGATGAACGGAAAAGGAAAGCCGCTTCGGCAGTATCTTGCAGCCGCGGCTCGCGCAGAGGCGTTTCCATCGCAATTCATCTGTGGCCATTTCAAGAGGCGTCAAACCCATGTTGCATCGCACTCGGTAATCAGCACCCTGAGGCCAGCAAACGCAACAGATCACCTCGAGGGTTCACATGGGGTGGCATACACAGAAACTCAGAATGGATACTTCAAGCAACGCCGCTGCAGTAGCGACAGCTTATCTGCGAGATGTTGCCTTCAACATCTTACAGATAACCTACATGGGCTTACTATGCAGCATAATTAAGGTGACGTGTATGCGCATAATAGTCAACATCAAGCAGATAGCTTGCACATGCATCCTATGCAGCATCTTGGCGATATCCCAGAGGCATTTCATATGCAGAATCGAGATAATAGCAGCTTACTATCCACCGTATTTGAAATACAGTGCATGCGCGAAATATGTAACATGAATAAGGCAACATGGATGTACTTACGTGCCGTAGAAGAAGGCGGACGATTGCAGGCCTCTCGATTGCGTCGAAGAGCGGCGTCTGGCCATCGTTTCGTTGCCTGTTGAGCATGTCTGGATTCACATTCAACAGCAGCTCTACGACACTCACATGCCCGTTCTTCACTGCGTAGTGCAACGGAGTGTCTCCCTCAGTGTCACGGATGTCGAGAAATTGCCTCTGAGAGCTCTCCCCACCTGCAAGGGCATAGCGACATACAAGAAGATAACGAGGTGTATCGACAAACGTCGTCCTACCTCAGGTGTCACAAAAACTATGGGAAAACTGAGCGACTCCCTGCTGGTGCTTGCGCAGATAGACGCCACCAGTTTACTGAGTTCGCAGCATAGCTCAGAACGGGGTGATGTGACAGCAGGCTGTCCTACATAGCAGCACTGAACTAAACAGCAGTTCCATACGCTACAGAATATTCAGTAGATGCTCTATGCTTACCTATTTGTTCAAGGATCCACTTGAGGCACTTCGGGTGGCCGTAGGCAGCAGCATAGAAAGCCAGGGTTTGGCCGCGGTCGCATTTGAGCGCAGAGAATGGAGGCAAGGCAACGCGTTCTTTCAATGGCTCATCTTCGTAGATGCATTTGAACAGCTCTAGCACTTGTTCGTCATCTTTGCTCGGGCGTCGCAACAGGTGGTGAAACATAGACATACCTGAATGCTCGCTCCTCGCATGCACCAGGTGTCTGAGCACCAGCAGAGCAAACAAACAGGCTTACAACAGTTTATCATGAAAGCATTTTTGCTCAGTTACAACTGCATGCAGGTGATTTACAGGTGAACGAAAGCAACGGCTGTTCGCAAACTCACGGTTCTTCTTTCAGCAGATTAAACACATCGGGGCCCAGCATATCCACCACACATTCTGGCCAACCAGATGTGACTGATGGCCTGTGTGTAGAGTTACTCCCTGTTGCATCTGTCGCGGGATCCGCCAAAGCCTCCCCAGTTTGACTCATCTGCTGCTGCTGGTCCTGCTGCTGCAGAGCCCCCTCGCTGACATCAAGTGCAGGGAATCGCTCTTGCGGCTTGTGCGCTGTCGTGTCTTCGTCACTCCCACGCCTGGCACGTGAAGCGCCATCCTGTGTGGCCCCACGCGGTGAACATAAATGTTGCAAACGCTCTGTGTTTGAGCATGCAGCCGGCGTAGAGGAAGCAGGGGCCACTCCCGGACCGATTCTGCTTTCCGCAAGCCCCGCTTCATCACCTTCCTGAGAGGCGTCAACCCCCGCTTCGTCTCTCTCTTGGGAGGCGTTGTTGAAGTTGTCGCATTGAGTCTCTCCGTTGTTGTCTCCTCCGCTGCAAAAGTCAGTTGCAGCGTTGGTCGGCAGTGGCTGATATCTCGATACACCCGCGGGGCCCCCGCTACGTAATCCAGAGATGCCTCCTACGCTGGTTTCCTGTTTATCTGTCTGTTGCCGAACTACAGGGGGGGGCGGGGAGCTGCACCTGCTGTTCTCGTCGCTACTATCGGATATGGTGATGCACTCTGGCAAAGAAGAAGCAGCAGGACCAACGCATTCGGGCTTGACGACTGCTATATTACTGCTCCTCGCACAGGTGTTCCCATCATGCCCTGCATGCGAAGGAGAGCTCGAGCTGAGAACAGCAGACGGGCTGATATGTGTTGGTTCTTCTTCATTCAACAACCCCGCCGCGTCCCCTCCTGCTGAACCGCGCAATGCAGGCCGTTGTTCTGCCTCTGTCAACTCACGTTTCGGCATGCGCAAAGGAGTTGCCCTGCGCGTACTTGCAGGGGGTGATCGGTTGCAACTACGAGAAGCTGGCGCATGCCGTGCACTGGCTTGCATCAGCAGGGTTTTTTGGTCTCTCCGTCTTAGCTTGCTTGCCTTGGGTATAACGGACATCATATGCAGAAGGCGGAGATCCCGAAGATCGTGACTTGTGTTCGGTTTCTTGTTTCTTTGCATTTGACACAGTTGCTGCTGCAGGAATGCTCTTCGTGTGCAATGCTGTTCCTGCTGCAGCAGTGCCCGCAGTCTCCGCTTCATCTCCCCCGGTGACGGCGCTGTTGGCTCCGCCTCCCCTTCTTTCATTTCCGTTGCTTCGGTTCTTGTCACCTGATCCATCTCCGCAAATATCGGGCACCACCCACTTGGTATTGGAGACCAAATCCCAATGACGGGGAAATAAGGGGGCCTTTTCCACACCTCTAAGAGGGTAGGCAACGAAGGAAAACCGAAGAGAAGGTGATGTCTTGTTGTAGTGGTATTTAATCAAGGAAAACCGACTCTCGGGAAAGCGCAGAATGCAGACGGTTTGAGACACCAAGCGGTGTCAGCCGCTTGAAGCCGAAAAGGGTTGCAGATCATACAACAACTTGTACCCTGAAATGATGCACCTCTTTTCTTAAACAGACAAATAAATATCGAAGCTTTCAGATATAATACCTCTATTTATCGGTTTTATTGCTTGAAATTTGTCGAATGACTAGGCAGATTAGTCGAACTCATGTTTCGTTCCAATGGTCCACCGGGGCTTCTGAGGTATCTCAGTGACCACGGCCGAGTTGCTGCTGAACTGCAGGAGAGAACTTCAAAATATAGCTAAAAACGTTAAAACGGGGTACAAAAATACATCGAAGAAGCCACAAATACGCACTTTGAAGGGGATGAAAAGTAATATAATTATACACAAAAAGTGGTACTCATCGCGAGACATCGAAACGCGAGAGCAGTTACCAACTGAACCGGCGGAGCAATCGCTGTAGCATCCTTGTACTTATAGACGCTTTTTTTTAACTGTTCACAATTTAAAAAATATTCGGAGGTCGAGGAAAACCATTTATGCTCCGATGCTAGTCGGCCATGACCGTTCTTTCGGTAGAAGGCTCATACATGTCGCGGGAACGGTGTGTGAATCGATGCGTAGTTTTCCTTCTAAGCACGTTACGAAGTGTGCTTTACGCTTAAGAACAGTAAAAAGGCAGGGAAGCTAGTCAGACAGATCCATAAGAACCCCAGCATTATCAATGAATTCTAATTTGCAAAGACTAGACTCTAAATTTAGGTACTTCGAACGGAAGGGCAGGTGGTCGCGCGCCCTTCTGTTTAAGGCGAAAATAACAACTGCAAGAGGAGAGTTCTACGACTCTTCTGCATTTTGAATGCAAAGAATAAACTCTGCATATTCCAGTTAAGCTATGCATTTTAACTACAGATTCGAACGACGGGCGCGGGAGAGAGAGACTTCGGCGTCTCTTTGACGATGTGAATCATTGGTCACCGTGTACAGTTCGATTTATCTTTCTTCAGGTATTCTGGAGGTATCTCTCTTTTCTCAAGCTGCTTTCTCGCCCTGCCTCCTCCGTCTTCGTGCTCAGCTCTATCTACAGTACAGCCACAAACTGCTTGGCAGTCCACGAAACATCTACGCTGCACTTTATTCAATTGAGCGCATAGAGTTTCACAGACCCTAGACTACCTCTGCTCGTTTCAGAAATTAGGTTTCTACCTTCTTTCTGGTTGAGCTTAGTACAAGTGTGTCTTTGGCTAGATAATTGAAACATGGGCGTATGTAGGCCTTCCGTTCCATTAGGTTATTTCGAGGACAATTTTAGCACGTGTTGATAATTAAGTCAAAAATGTCATTTCTCAGCGTTTGTCGCTGCTCATGTTTAACATTTTTGGTGACTGAATTACAATAGAAGAGTTGCAATTCACACGAACGATCGAGAAACACGTCATTGTTCCTAATCCCCTGCATTTTGACACTATAGAGCGAAACTATTGTCGCATTAACAGCACTGAAGACGTTTCTATATTCGAACTTCGAACGGTTCACCAGGTCAAGAGGAATCAATCGCCTCAATCACTCGCACGGAGGCCTTGCGTTTTGATGGATTTAAGGAGGCGACAGACTTCGCGAAGAATGACACTTTGTTCTTCTATGAGGTCGCGTAGAACCTTCGCCTGCACAAAGTCCCACATTCAACGATTTCTACATTCAACGTTTTCTTTCTTTCTTTTGCTGCTACTATCATCCCCATTGATGTTGCAAGTACGAAAGCATACACGCAACTGTCTTGCAAGAAGGCTTAAGAAAACACAGACTACGTGCTAGCGTATTGGTTGCATCCGTGCAGTGTCACCCTTACATCCGTGGGCCCAATCGCTCCTCTCTGCACCTTTTCTGAACACGTTCGGAGACGATCACCGACTGCTGGTGATGAAGAAAGCAGCGGTTGCTTCTTTTGAGGACTTCTTGGAGCAGCTTGTATCTTCGCTGGAGTCCGAACCTGTCTCGGCCCCGTTCCTGCAAACCCAACGCAAGCCAGCAGAGAGCAAAATGCAGAAAATGCGCACTATATTATACTGCAATGTGGTGTATATTGATATTACTCCTTCTCAAAGCAATTAAAATGCATTCTATTGTACTCTATATTGATTGTAGTCATTCTGAGTGCAAGGCAAAAGCCAGTCAGGCATCAGTAGCATACAAAATTTTGCTTGCAAACGGTAGATAGGACGGGTTAGCAACGGTATACAAATACACCATGCCAACCCTGCCTTTTCATTTATGTACTTCAGTTGCACCTTCGGAAGTTCTCAGATCGTGAAGCACACAAACTAAAAGACGTTTTTTCTCTCATGATGGGCAGGTCCTGTGCGTGCAAATATCAACAGCAGCATTTAACAGCGCATTTGCCTACCTGTTCTTTGCGTAGCTCCTTTTGTTTCATTGCGCAGCGGGGCTCTAGCAGCTGATGCATTTGCTCGCACTGTGGCACTTACTTCGGTGTTTTGCATGTGCGTCAACACCGAAGCCAGCCACTCGTACAAATCCATCATCAAAATAAGCTCTGAAGACGCCTTGAACTGACGCACTCCCCCGTGCATCGAACGCGGGTGTTCTGCAGAGTGAATGAGTTGCTGCTGCCTGCCGTACTCAAGGAACTCTGAAATGAACTCCGGGGAAACCTTCGACATCTTCACTTCCAACGAATCCACCACAACAGGCCGTAGCACCAACGGTGTCACTGCAATCCCCCCCGCTGCAGCATCATAGAGTGCGTGTGGGTCAACCCCCGACCCTCTCGTCAGCACATCCGGAGATATAAACGGCTGAGCCACCAGTCGCACCACGGGGTCCCTCAAAGGCGGCCAGGCTTGATCGCTAATCAGGTGCATTGCATAGCCCGAGACGCGAGCCATCTTGGCCCACAGGTAGCTGTCAGATCTGCAGGGCACGTCAACCTTAGACGGAGGCCGACGTTTAGGCGAGAACAAGGGGATCAACTCTTTCAGTGGAGGCGCAGAAAGTGAGTTGCAACAAAGCTGAAATACGGCCCTCAGCAACAAAGCTGAAACGTCAAAGAGCCAAGTTGGATACGAGGTGGTCGTCGCGCGAATGAGGGCTTGCCTGCAGTCGTAGCAACACAGTTGAATTCCCCTCATATAAAGATAATGTATCGAGAGAAGCTGAATGAGGCGCATGTAGCTGCTGATGCTAGTGCTGCAAGAAACGGTGCTAAAGGTTGTAAACGAGGAAGTAAATGCGGTAAAAAGGACTGCAGACTGCATGCGACAGTTCCTAGATGGGCCTATTTATAGAACGGACCGAAATGCCTCATCATCGTAATTCCAGAGTTTTAGAAACGCATGTCGCACTCGTCTGAATGTCGCAGGCTCAGGCGATCCAGTGATGCTGAGAAGAAAACAACGTGCGAACACATATTATATGTATATATCTTTAATATATATATATATATATATATATATATATATATATATATATATATATATATATATATATATATATACAAATATGCATATATAATATGCATAATTTACTTCTGCAAGGACCAAAAGACTGGTAGACCTGCCACATCTGGAGGTGAAATGCATGTATAGACGCATTTCCTCTGTACAGAAATGTATTACCTCTGTTCAAATGGTAATGCACAAGGTGCAGCAACTGGCCCAGCAGCTTCGTCGTAGCCGAAGTTCACAGGCCGATCGAACTGATCCTGCACCATCTTCAGGTACGCCTCTTCCTGCGCCTGCTGCTTCGCCATGTGCGCATCTAGCAGCTGCTGCTCCAGCTGCTGCTGCTGCAGCCGCTCTTGCTGCTGGACCTCTGGCTTCGTCAGCCCGTTTTGCTTGCCTGACTGTGTAGCGTACTTCCTGGAGGGTGCTGGGGGGGGCTGGGCTGGTTGCATTTGGTGCTTGCGGGTTATAGGCTGGCCTTTCAAGCCCTTGGGCTTGCCTGGAGATTTCGTTTCCTTCGTTGCCTTTAAGTCGGCCAACGATTTGAGAAGCGCTGCTGCAACATCTTGCATGCGCGGCGTTGCAGCTTCCGGAGGGCATGCAGACGGCAGGTTCCCGGCGCTGCAGCATTCAGCAGTCGCACCACAACATTAACTGCTTCTGATCACAGAGAGAACAGAAATGAAGACCCAGGCGTGTCGAGTCCCGCTGCACTGCGGTACCACAGCAGTGTTCAGGTGTCTCATTAAACACCCTAGAGAACGGGAAAAAGGGTCTACAGGGTCTAAAGACTCACCGCACTTCCTCCACTTCTATTTCATCAAGACCTAGCAGCTGAATCAGGGCGTCTGCTGATAGAGGGCAGTGCTGCCCCTCCTTGGTCTTCGTCTGCTGCAGCTGGGCAGCAGCAGCTCCCGCCTCTGCTTCGTGCATCAGCAGGAACAACGAGTTGTACAGAACAAAACGCATGCGGTACTGCGCCGCCTGGAGAAATGTCTTGTTGCAGCGCCGGACCAGCAGCAGCTTCGACAGCGACAGATACTGGCAAATCTTTGACACCACTCGAGGGTTCTCCCAAACCCTGTTGGATTCAGGAGGACCCTCTGAAGAGGTGCAGAGCTGCCTTGCAGCTGACAACCGGACGTTCTGTTCTGACTCCGGTTCTTTTTGTTCCTCCTTGGTCGCTGCAGCTTCGGCAGAGTCTTCCTGTTGATCCTGTTGGTTAGAGCTGCTTGCAGCCGTTTGTACGGCTAGGGGAGAAGGGTTGTTATCTGCTGAATGCGCAACTACAGGCGAAGGATCCCCCGTATGGGCCGCAGCCCCGGATCGAGGCGCCAGCGCTGCCTCCTGTGCCTCCCGCTCGCATGCAAGATAGGCAGCACAGGCAGTGCATAGAGAAGCGGCCTGCTCGAGAGGGAGGCGGTCGTCTACTGCGATAGACACAGCAACTCCTGGCTGAGGTGCATGAAGTCTGCTGGCTGCTACTGACGATCGCTTGCCGCAGCGGGAACATTTGCCTGCCTGCGCAGGTAGAGCTGCAGGCGCTCCCCCGTCGTTTTCTTCTTTTGTTTTGTCTGCATAGAGGCCTTTGTTCGAGGAAGCAACAATTGGGGGGCCCTCACCCTCCATACGCCACCAGCTGCAGCAGGGGCAGCAGCAGCACGGGAGGTCGGCTGTGGGGCTTATTCCGGGTTCCTGCGCATGCGTTGCTCTCATGCGGCAGCAGCGGCAGCCACATCGCATATCGCCTGCATCTTCGGCCCAGCCAGGCAGTGGAGGCTCCTCGAGACAGTCAGTTGGCCACAGTTGGGACCGCTCTGCCTGGGGGGCAGCAGAACAACTGGAAGGGGGAAAGCGACGCTGCCGCCTTCCATCTTCGCGGTGTACGTAAGGCGGAGAGGGGCTTCCTGACACCCCGTAGGCCCTCATCCAAGAAGGCAGTGCCCATACACCCGGATTCGGTGCTGAAAGCGTGGTGTCAACGTCTCTGCTGAAATGCCCACCTCCTCCACAGCCACCGCGCTCGAGAGGAGGCGCAGTTATTTCTCGTCTGTCTGCTGCTGGGGAGTTGTTGCTGCGACTTCGCCTCGAAGTCGACCGCTGCCGCTGCTGGGTTACCCTCCCGTTCAGCTGCTTCCTGAAGAAGAGCAGCTCTCTGGGGGAGGCGTTGACACCCATCCTCTTGAGGGTTTCCTCGTCGTCAGTGGCGGCTGAAGCAGTAGCAGCAGCAAAGTGAGGGGTCATGTTGGTGGAAATGGTAGCTGCGGCTGCCCGCGTATGCGGCGCCTGTCTGCCTACACTTGTCTTGAGTTCGTCAGAAGCGCGCAAAGACTGCCGAAAGCCCCACATGTCGCTGCCCAGCTGAGACGAAGGTTTTCCCGCTGCAACTTCCGCAGTGTAGTCAACTGGCCGTCTTTTTATGGGCGAGGCCCCTCTCTGCCCTGCATGCTGTGATATTTGTTTTCCTTTCTGGTTCTCTGACGGGCGGAGCTGTTGATCATTCCACCCGACACGAGGAGGACCCAAGGCGGCGCTCCCGTCGTTGCGCGAGCAGTGCTGGGATGGAAGACCTGCTGCATGCACAAAAACGTCCTTAGAATTGTTTTCTTGATACAAGGGCGTCGGGCTCAGAAAGCCGAAGCCCTCTGGCTCGTGATGGAGGGAAGGCGGCAGCGTGGACGGCACGTTGAAGCCGGTGGGGCCCTGAGAAGCCCTTCCCCCCACAGCCGCTGCATAGCCACAAGGTAAATTGTTCGAACGTGCCTCTCTCGAATCACCTCGCGGGGCTGCATGCAGTGGCCACGCGTCCGCTTCATGCAGCAGAGGCGAAGAGGCAGCGGCTGCGTATCCCGGGAGGACTTGGCGTCGTCGTTGCCCCGTTGGGCATCCATCTTCCCCCTTCCTCCTGCCTCCTCCACTCGGCATACCAGCAGCAGGCAAGGAAGAGGGGCTGATCCGGGCCAGATGTCTCTTCTCTGCTCTTGAAACACCCTGCTCCGCCTCTCCCCAAGCCAATGAAACTGTTGCCGAACGGGGAAACCGCGACAACCCTGGGAAACTCTCTTGAGAAGAAGTGGGGAAGGTGTATGGGCTGCCTTCGTGGCCGTCACGAGGCAGATCTTCCATGGAAGCCCCCCAGGATGCAGGGCGCTGCATGGATCTCTGTTGCTGCAGAAGTTGCTGTCGTTCTCTCTGCTGCTGCTGCAGCTCTTGCTGTCTACGCGCGATTGCTGCCGCCATACCGCCGGGTTCCCCGTCTTCCCGTCGGTCTCCCAATCTCCACGAGCTGCGAGGACAGCCAGGTCCGCCTTCCAAGACGCCCACATCGCCGGCCTGAACCTGCCAGCCGCTGGGAGCTGAGGGTTTAATGCGCCTCTCAATTGGCTGCTGAGGTGGCGGGGGAGGCAACGGTCTGTCCTGAGGGAGGGCAAATGGCGTCGTGCGCGACAGACGCAGCACTTCCGCCTTCAATTGCTGCTCCTGCTGCCGCAGAAACCGCTGCTGCGACATGAGAGCCGCGAGGTCGAAGTTTCCCCTCGCGTACGATGCCATTGCAGGAAGCAGCGATTGAGAGGGAGGCTTTTAGTCAGGTGCCCCGAGGAGGTAAACGCAGGGCAGGCAGACAGCCTGCGGGGCGAAGCAGGCTGTCGAGTTGAGCGTAACGAGGGAAAAAAAGCGACAACATCGGCGCGTGCAGGAACCCATATGTTGAACGCGTAGCCATGGGAACCCGAAAGAAGAACCGTTAGGTTTCCTCTATTACGGGATTTGAAGCATTCTCCAAGAAAGCCATAGACACTCGGAATCTTGAGCCGGGTATGGACGGCGAACTACACGCGGGATTCCTTGCTCTTCATAGAGCCTCCCAGTGCAAGCTCGTGCTGATAAGGTGGGCCGCCTGCGGTTTTGGGTGAGCTTCTTTGCTCCTTTGAGAGGCCAAACGGCGTTTTCAGGCTCAATAAACCGTTTAAAAGGACACAAGTGTGCCTACCGCTGCAGCGGGAAGTTGTCAAGCCATCCGGGTTCCCTGCAGGTCCGCCATTGACTGCAAGCAGCACCTCCTGTGCAATGTTTTCTCTAAAAACGTCCTGATATGAGAATATAGGATAAAGTTTCTTCAAAATAGCCGGGGGAGATGTGATGCTGCGGGCGCCTCATTCAGAAGATCTAGAGCCCAACGCATGTGTAGCTGCTGCCTGCACATGCGTTGGACGGTCCGGGGAAAATGTCGGGAAGCGGTATTCGTCTATTGGTTGTTGTTCAAAGTTTTGCAAATTTTCATTGAAAAATGAAACAAATGGTGCTCCAATAGAGGAAATTACCTCTCGTGCATTTGTGGCGAAAGCCAGTGGACTGTGAAATGGTAGCCACTCGATGATCGCCCCGAGTGCTGCCGACATCTTCGTCTTCTCATATTTGGGAGTAACTGAGTGTCTATATAGCTGCGAATCAAGCATACAACTCATTCTGCTTTGCGTTCAAACTCAACAAATGCCCCAAATATCTCCCTACCTGCCTACAATGGCCAGGAGGACCGGAATCCATAGCTGTAGACACGCCGGGTTCGTGAGCTGCTCTTCACGCGGGGAGTCGCACAGCAGAGTTGGTATATATTAGGCAGATGATTGGAAGAAACAAACATTTAAAGGGGATTCTGATCGTCTATGGCATCTCCGAACCTGTTCACACGGCTTGCCGAGTCCTTCGAAACAACCGAATCCCGCAGACTTTTCTTATCTCCCTTAACTCCCGCTCTGCTGCTGTCACTCACATTGCTCCTGCAACTGCTTCTGCTCAAGAGAAGATTCCACCCTCCTAGAAACTCAACCAACATTGAGTATGGCTGGTTGCCATAAGATCGGCTATAGATAGAGGAATGAGGCCGCTGCCGTGCCGCTACACTTCCATACAACGCATATTGAAGCGGACCTCGGCTGCCAATGGTCTTCGTTTAGACTCTCCTGAGCTGTAGAGAAACTCAAAATAGAAGAATAGCAGTTGAAAACAAATATATGCTATGAGTTCTCTCGTCTATTATGCCGAGGAATACCCCTCATGCGTGCACCGTGCAGCGTTCTTTGAACGTTTTGGCGCCGGTGTTCATTGCACTTACAGTGGTGGTTCAGCACTCAACCCTTTGATTTGAACTCAAGTGCAACATATATGGCGCTTTTCATTAGCCAGTGACTGTGAATTCATCGCATATTCCCTTGCACACCCATCGTAGCTTTATTGATGTNGATGTGGATGCACATAAAATGCGCATTGAGTTGAGCCGCTGTGGAAATGCTATCGATCATTACAATTCTACAGAGGGAAAATGCAATAAGGCGCGATGTCTTTGGCGTACCGGTCGGTTTCTTTTTCGAAGCGATTGAGAACTCGTTCGTCCCTCTTTAGACTGCTTAAATGGGCTTCTATTGGCATTTAGTTAATCACTGCACATTCTAACAAAACAGTATGTAGGCTGAGATGCTCGCTTTCTTCTAATATTTTGCAGTTTTTTATATGTGTGCGGTGGTGGGAATCTTCCATCACAGCCAAGGAGCGTCGTGGGTTGCAGTGGAGTCAAGAGTTGGGTAACAGTTCATAATAGGAAATGCAGAACAAATGTGTGGGGAATATTACTGTGCGGAGAGGAGAGAGATACCGATTCTGACGGGAGATGCGACACCACTCCTTGCTGTTACCCCTGTTGCTAGGCAACCCTACGAACAAGAAAATCGAGCCCCGTCTGGGCTCATGCAGAACTATCGCTGTAGACAATTGCTAAAGCACTTCGTTTTCTCTCAGCGACCAAACTGCATAGAAGTGGGAATTCACGAAACACCAAAACTACACACGTAAGACAAACCACGCCACTACATGGCAGGAACTGCGGGTGCTATTGGCGCACTCCGCATTGTTAGCCCTAAACAGGTGTTATTTTCTCTACGACTGAACAAATGCATTCGATATTTGCACTACATTTACGATGATTTTGAGTTTCTCCTCATGCATGACTTGAGCGCATCGGTGTGGCAGCGAGCAATATGAAGAACCAAACATATGCCGCTTCACTTCACGCCGGTGGAGATCCTACCTGTTATTTCACAATAAAAAATATCTTCTTTCAGCTTTTTATAGGAACAAAGGGAAGGGACAGACGCGTCGTGTTCCTCTAACAACTAGAGTTGAGCGGTGCGTGGCCCGATCAGGGAGAGTGTAGTAGTGCACAGGCGCTACAGGGGAGCTCAAGTGGAACCTTTAGAGGCATCGTTATATGAAGGAGAACAAATACAACACTAGTAGATATAAATGGTAGTGCTTTAGATAGAAATATAAGGTAACCAAATCAAGAATGCTCGGTAGGCCCACCAGGTTGAGGGCTGGCTCTGAGACTGACGCTGAGGCTGAGAGACTCACGGCAGAGTCGATGTCATATCTAAGATATATGAACTCAAATACTCTTTAATAACGATTACTTGAATATTTATGTCGTAATACTAGAAATAGGTAGTGTTTAGTGTATAGATGCAGATTCTGCACCCAGTTAGGTTGGCCTAGGATACATACGTAGGACAAGTAGAGCCCACTGTTCACTACCGAGTGCCTCCTCAGCTGCTCATGATCATGCAGGCGTGAGTTGCATTTCCCCCTAAAATCGGCTTGAAAGCAGAAATAAATACTTAAAATAAACAATCTAAAACCGTCTGTCTGTTGTTTCCAAGTTAAATCAAAGTCTAAATTCTTTGCGTGAGCGCTTGGCGGCAGGGCGTTCACTTCTTGTGCTTGATCATCATCCAGCCCCAAAAACTGCTGCCACCGTTTGTGGCTCGTTTTTTTTGCCCGTGCATGCGCTTACTCTGCATTAGCACCACTCCATCTTATTTTGTTTGTTTAGCCGCATGCATTAGAGTTATTTGGAATATCTCTGCTCCGGGTTTCCCCCATCGCCCGGCAGCACCGCCGCATCGGCCCCTTCTGCTATCGCGCTCCTTCTGTTGCTTGCTGGGGCCTTCGCATCGTGGCATGAGGAGAAGCAGCGGCGGTTTCTGTTTGCATTGGACTGGAGTCAAGAGGGAGAATGGAGCCTCGGCGTCTGTCAGATAAAGGTGGGCAGAGGCCCCCCGCCCCTCCTGGGTCGATGCCAAATCTGTCTTCGGCGGAGGACCTGCAGCAGCACGTAGAGTGGGCGCAGCGGATCCTGGATGACCGAACGCTTGTGCCTGTGCAGCACAAGAAGGTGGTGGAGAAGCCTCATAGCGTGTTGCATCTTCTCTGGGGCGCAGCCCTCGTCCTGCTCATCATCTTCGTACGGCGTCTTCCCCGCTTCCCGGGGGTTGTAGTACCAGACAGGCTGGACCAGGGTGACCCCCTGCTTTATTGGGAGTCGAAGAACATCATTGGTGATAACCCTGAAGAAGGTATGCAGCTGCGGCTGCGCAACAACCCACATGTGGCGAAGGGTTTTCATGAGTTTGCACAGTTGTCAAAGGAGAGCTTCGATCGCCGCGACAAGGCATCTCAGAGGATTCACAACTTTCAGAAGCAGATGGTGGCGGCCTTCAACCCGCTTATTGTCATCACAGATCGCATGAACAACCTGCTGAAACAGCTGCCGCCCCTAGCAGAAAGCTTTCCCAGCAACGCGGAGGACCTGCGCGCGCAGCTACAGCATCTGTGTGAAACCGAAGCTGCTGCTTCAGACAAGAAAGACGAGTTCCTGGAGGACTGGAATGTTAACAGAATGCGCAAAGAGCTGTACAGCGACCCCATGGTGGCCACAGCTCTGCGTAACCTCGTTGATATCGATTCAGCTTACATGCACAAGAAAATAGCTATGCTCGAGTTCCTCGTTAGCGAGGCAATGAAGGCTACAGAAGGCACATCCATGAGCCCCATCGTCATGAAGGAAATCCAGTTTCTTGAAAGCAAATACAAAGCTGCAGCAAGTGAAGCAGAACGACAAGCAGCAGCCTGCATGAACCTGCTGCCTCCACAGGACCACTGGTTACTGCTGCTCTTCGTTGAACACCTCGCAGCCGCTCCTCCTCCATCCCCTGCACCAGCACCACAAACTACAAATTAAACCCTTGATACGTATGCATGCATAAATACGTGCATGCTTACATACATGCAGCTTATCCCTCTGTGGCCAAACATTTTTTAATCGGCGAGCAGTCGCCTGCGCGAGGATTTGTATCTACGGCTCCCACTTCATTCATCTGCAGGAGCCACGCGTCCGAGAAGGAGGTTGTGTACACAACTTTAATGTCACCAAAGTTTGCACCTTGCAGCTTTTTCTGACGACAGCAGCACGTCAAGCAGGTCCTTGTTGTTGCTGGCAACAGCAGCAGCAGCAGCAGCAGCAGCAGTTGATAAGAGGGAGGCCGGTTCTTGTCGTCGTTTGTTGCTAGCAACAGCAATCGCAGATGCTGGTGAGAAAGAGGCCGATTCCTGTTGTTGTCTGTTGCTAGTAGTAGCAGCATCAGCAGTTGGTAAGACAGATATTTCCTTGTTGCTGTTGTTAGCAGCAGCAGCAGCAGCAGCAGCAGCAGCAGCAGCATGGGTTTCTAGTAAGAGCGCCGTAGGTGGAACTGGTAGCCCGCAGGTGGGGCTCTGCTCCAGGAAACCTTTTAAATTTCGATGTTAACGCGCTGTCGCGGTTTGGTGCCTTTGGGAGGCCCTGGCCGTTTCTCATTGCTCGCAACTCCATTGGAATATTTCACGTTTGTTTTCTGTCTGCCATGAGGTGTCACCAACTGATAAAAAGCTATAATATATAGAGTAATACAGACTGCTCAAGCTTAAGGGGTTGTGGTGTTGGAGTTTCACGTCTAGTTGTTCTTCCCTTTTATAGCGTTTTAGACCTCAAATATAATTAGCAGCAAATTCAGACAGAGGGCGCACCCACTGCACTGCTCTATTTCTTCTCGTACTTAGCAGTACGCCGATAGAGGGAGAGGGGCACCAAAGGTAGCCACGTTGGTTCTTTCTGCAGTCCATCTATACCGTTATCGGGGTGTATCGACACAAACTGTACAATACTAGGGGGAGGAGGCACTCGTTACCGACGCTGCAGCGCTGAAGCGTAGCCAGTGCAGCAAGGCGGATCGGATCAGCAATTGGAAGACGTGTTCTCCCCCTTATATCGCCGGAGTCTTCTTCACATGAAATCAGGAGACGTTACTGTTCAGTATAAGCAGATAGCCATCTCAGGTTTTCTTGTAGGCAGTGACGCCAGGCTTTGCGCCCTTTAAACACACGCTCGTATTCCTGCATTCATGCAACAAATTTGATTCATTTGTTACTATGCGTGCGCTGCACTGTCCTAACATGCACATTCCATTGACATGGACAGAGGATTCAGCACCATGAGGTTGCGCAGTAAAATCTGAGTTATATTACGGCATCAGCAAATGTGTGTATGGCAGCTTTATGAGTGGGAATTGCCGAAGACTACGGGGGAATTAGGGTTTAGGGTTTAGGGTCTAGACGCTAGAGCGTGGACCTCGTATTGGATGCATCCCATGATCGTTGGTTTCGGACGAAGAAAGAATGCATACGCACACGGCACAGCCCCCTGGTGCTGAATATAGGAATATGCACGTTAGGACAATTGAAGCACAGATATTACAATAGGTGAAACATATTCGTTACATGAATAATAAACAGAACGCATTTATTTCTGTCTTCTTTCTTTTCATTTCTTTCCCTTTCGGCGTCTGTTTTGGTTTCCATGCGAACCACCATGCGACCGCCCAACGACAACTTGCGCCCAGCTTCGACTCAGCAATAAGTTTGGTGTATTAATTATTTATTGGGTAAATTAGAGAGATTTACATATTAAAAAGACGAAGAGTGTCTATCTGAATTGAAATAGTGTCTTAGCCACTTACACTGTGGGGCCATCAGAGTTGAATGCGGGCACGCCAGCCGGACTCGGCAGCGGCGGCTACGAGCGAAACGTCTCGGGTGTTCCTTTTTACTTTTTCTTTTCACTTTCACCTTTTCAATTCAAATTCGCCAGTTTATATTTCTCAAACTGAAGTGGCCGCGTCACCCGCCAGCGCGTGCTGTTCCTCTCCGGTTCCGAGTGCTGTCCGTGCAGCTTCCGTACTTCATCGACAGCGGTATCCTGTAGTAAACGGGGTGAAGTCAATCGACATTTGCCGGTTTATTTCGTTTCTCGTGACTAATTGGATTCTTTTTCGTCAAAGAGGACCGGTTGAATCAGCCAAAGCCGCGGCAGCCACACAAGGGTTTTAGGTTTCCGTTGTTCTGCATATGTGGTATACTGAACGACACCCCTCTTACACTCTACCCGCCCACTGCAGTTTTATCAATGGCCACTGCTGCCATCACCGCCACCCCGTCTTCTATACCTCTTTCTGAGGTGCCTTTAGACTCCCGTACGGCTTCTGGTGCGCTATCTTCATCAGAGTGCTGCTGCAGTTGATGAGCACCTAATCAAACACAGGCAGCAGCAGCAGTACCAGGCTGCATCCTGTCAGTACCAGCAGCACCAACAGCAGCACTAGCTACTTGTGCAGTTGCTGCTCCTGCTTTAGTGAACTTTATACAATTTTCAGTCGGATTCCTCATTCGCTATGCTGCCCAATGACACACCCACTGTGGCGGCTCCGATTCCAGCATCCCGCGAATGCAGTTTAGGAGAATCCGGCCGTCACTATACACCCCAACATATTGCAGAGGCAGAGGAGCTGCAAGAACCGTACCAGCAGCAGTATCTCTGGGTTCCTCCTCGCAAAAGAAGACAGACATCAGAAAGCAGCAACAATCATCAGACCGCCACAGCAGTATCTGTTGTTGAGTCTGGAGCAGCAGCACAGGCTGCTGAGTCTGCTGCAGCAGCTGCAGCAGCAACTGCTGCTGAATCTTGTGCAGCTCAAGCATCTGTCACTCACCCCAGTGCAAGCTCTGCTCCCGCCCCGCGGACTCTGAGGTCTTTGGGCGACACTTCGCCGCTTTCGAGTTCTGGAGATTTCTTTGAATTTCAGCAGCAGCTTCTAGAGCAAACACACGCCTTCGTTGAAGCAGCAGCGACAGCAGCAGCAGCAGCAGCAGCAGAGGTGGGGATGCGGCCTGCTGCAGTTGACAGCGTGAGGACAGATTTAGACAAAGAACGACAGCAAATGTTGCATGCAGATGAGAGAAAAATGAAGTCGCCTGTACAGCAGACAGCTGGGGGCCCGCAGCAGCAGCGTACAGACACCCCGGCTTCGCAGCTTGAGCTGTGTGGTCAGTTTCTACGCGTCTGCCTGCATTTTATATTTCTGCTGCTTCGCGTGGCCCAAGAGGTGACAGCTGTGTGTTTCTATCAGACAATAGGATGGGTCTTGATGACATTCAGTTGCATCTGCTGTCGGTGCAGCGTGGTTCTGTATTTTCTGGCCGCTCGGGTGTCTAGACAGGTCTTTCGCGGCAGCAACCGTTACCTGCAGTTTTTCTGGATATCACTTCTTAAACTTTTGCGCCTCGCGGCCGTCCTGGTGAGGCGCAGCGAGGCAGCAGCAGCAGCAGCAGAGAGACGGGCTGCATGCACATCGCTTGCTGCACGCATATCAGCTGTACAGACAGCTGCAAACGTTGGCTACGTGTTCACAGAGATGGTGCGGCACTTGAAATACTTCTTCTGCTGCTGCTACACAGCAGCAGCAGCAGCAGCAGCAGCAGCTGTCGCAGCCATAGCAGCAGCAGCAGCAGCAGCAAACCAGACAGAAAAAAAACAAAACACAAACCGCCGAGAGGTAGATGAAGACGGTAACCTAGCACTGACACCAGAAGAAGCCCTCGCAACAGGTGAGCCAAAGGGCGACGATATATAAATTAGTTTCTTATGAATTTATTTTTTATGAATTTATTTTTTATGAATTTATTTTTTATGAATTTATTTTTTATGAATTTATTTTTTATGAATTTATTTTTTATGAATTTATTTTATATAAATTTATTTTTTATGAATTTATTTTTTATGAATTTATTTTATATGAATTTGTTTTATATGAATTTATTTTTTTTGAATTTATTTTTTATGAATTTATTTTTTATGAATTTGTTTTATATGAATTTATTTTTTATGAATTTATTTTTTATGAATTTATTTTTTATGAATTTATTTTTTATGAATTTATTTTACATGAGTTTATTTTACATGAGTTTATTTTATATGAATTTATTTTATATGGATCTATTTTATATGAATCTGTATATTTTGTTGTGAATTCTTGTATATAAATATATTGAATATGTTTTGT